TCTTTTTTAATTTTTTTTTTTCAACGTTTATTTATTTTTGGGACAGAGAGAGACAGAGCATGAACGGGGGAGGGGCAGAGAGAGAGGGAGACACAGAATCGGAAACAGGCTCCAGGCTCCGAGCCATCAGCCCAGAGCCTGACGCGGGGCTCGAACTCACGGACCGCGAGATCGTGACCTGGCTGAAGTCGGACGCTCAACCGACTGCGCCACCCAGGCGCCCCACGAACAAAATAATTTTAAAGCATTCTTGACATTGACTATTGTTTTAGCTAATATAAGAGGTATGAAACGTGGAATGATACTTTTTGCTCTAACCTTTCATTTTGCTGGTAGCAAGATTGGACTTTTGCCTTTTTTATCATCTGCCTCCTAAGCTTTGGAGTGTCTGCCTCATCCCTTCAATCAGAGCAAAGTTTTATAAGTTTATTGCCTCCCTACCTCCCAACCCTTGAGCAGCTAGATTATTACAGCTTTGGAGATGGTCTTTTGTTTACACCCTGGTTTCTTATTTGCAGCTTATGTTTATTCAGAGCCAAGGCCAGGTTCAGCTGACCATTGAGCTCCTGGACACAGAAGAGGAGAACTCGGATGACCCTGTAGAAGCAGAGGTATGGACAAGTATATTACAGAAACCGTGTGCTTAGAGGGCCGTCATGTCCTGAGGCTCTGCCTAGGGATGATCTTCTAGAAGGCCAAGACAGCCTCAGACCTGTTAAGGGTAGAACCTGATGCCTGAAGTATAGGCCAGTTCAGCAGAAGAGAAGGGGGCTGCCTGGTGGTAGATACTTAGGGTTGATGGCAGTCTCATCTAGCTCTCAGTAAATCCATCTCTCAGGAAATGTCCTGTTTGGCAGCTTTCCTGTTTTTCTTTTAAAGTATAAGAAACAACAAATGAGGTGCCATCTGCCTGGTATCATCCTGACTCTGTGTCATGTTTACTTTTTATTGGGCTAGGTGAAGCCAGGAGCTCTCAAGCCTGCAGAGTGGGTAGAGTGAGTTGGTTATCCTAGCTGGGCCTGGCAGGTAATGTTAATGAGAGATGCAAGCCATGTGTATGATGTTGAGATAGGGAAGGGAGATTGTTGTTCTGTGGGAATATTGGTTCCTGGGTGCCAAATCTTTGGGGAAAAAAAAATTTGAGATGCCAGAAGGCCAGGTTGTAATGTGAAAGATCCCGATTTTCAAACATTTGCCACTGTGTATTTTGTTCTTTAACAAAACCCTCTGTGGTGAAATAAAACTTGTCAGTGAGCCAGTTTCTACCCATTTATGACTTCTGGTAACTTTTAAGCATCTCAGACAAACTTTGGGTTTGTTATGTACCAGAATTTTGAAGCTGTGTGTCAATACGTACCGGCATGTCACTATGGCAAGATTTTTTTGATCTTAAAACTTAAGGATTTCTGACATGTTAGTCGTAGAATTTGCTAGAATACCTGAGGAGGGTGGAGTCCAGTTTTTGTGCTCTCTCTCCACCCCCATTTTGTGTTTATAATCCTAGCGTTGGTCAGACTATGTGGAGCGATACATGAACTCTGATACTACCTCTCCTGAGCTGCGTGAGCATCTGGCACGGAAACCAGTATTTCTCCCGAGGTGAGTGAACGAAGTCACAGGTTGGCAATATGTACTGGTACACGGCTGAGGAACGGAGAGTGAAATGGCTTTCAGATCCTTGGTTTTCACTCACTTCATTGCTCTGTCTGCTGGACAGCGGGGACACTGAGGACACTAATTCAAGGTTTCTGTGGCTGTTACACCATGAGCTTACCTGGAGCATGTGCCAAAGAAGCATCAGAGAAGTGAGAGTTTTAGAGATGTAGCAGTAATTTGCCTATGTCGGATAGGACTGTGTGTCGGAGTCTCCAAGTTTTGATGATTCACTAGAAAGACTCAAGGATTCCACGTGTAGTCATATTCCCAGTGATGATTTATCATGGCAAAAGCATGCAGAGCTAAATCAGCAAGGGGGAAAGGCGTCTGTGACAAAATTCAAGGAAGCCAGGCGCAAGCTTCCAAGAGTCCTCTTCCATTGTAGCCACACGGGACGCTCTTAATTCCTCCAGCAGCAAATTATGACAATACGTTTGAAACGCTGTCTACCAGCGGAGGCTCATTAGGAGACTCAGTGCCAAGGTTTTTTATTGGGTGCTAGTCATATAGGCCAGACTCCCAGAAAGAAAGTAGGTTTTCAGCATAAACGAAACAGCTGGGGTACAGTGAACCACTTTTATTGTTTAGGGAATAGCGGAAGCTCTCCCCAGATTCAAGATTCCAGAACCCAAGCAAGGGACAACCTTGAAAGTGGGGCTTTCAAAAGATAGCAGTCTTACCAAAAATAGTAAAATACCTAGGAATACATGTAACTAAATAGGTGAAAGAGCTGTATTCTGAAAACTATAAAACACTGATGAAAGAAATTGAAGAAGACACAAAGAAATGGAAAGATATTCCATGCTCACAGATTGGAAGGACAAATATTGTTAAAGTGTCTATACTGCAGCAGTCTACAGATTTAATGCAAACTCTGTCAAACTACTACCAGCATTTTTCACAGAACTAGAACAAAAAAAATGCTTGAATTTGTACAGAATCACAAAAGACCCAAGTAGCCAAAGCAGTTTTGAAAAAGAAAAGCAAAGCTAGAGGCCTCGTAATTCCAGACTTCAAGTTCTATTACAAAGCTATAGGCATCAAAATAGTATGGTACTGGCACAAAAATAGACAAATAGCTCAGTGGGACAGAATAGAAAACCCAGTAATAAATCCATGATTATATGGTCAATTAATCTTCGACAAAGAAAGAATGCACAATGGGAAAAAGTCTCTTCAACAAGTGGTGTTGAAAATTGGACAGCAACATGACAAAGAATGAAACTGGACCACTTTCTTACACTATATACAAAAGCAAATTTGAAATGGATTTCAGACCTAACCCTGAGACCTGAAACCATAAAAATCCTATAAGAGAACACAGGCAGTAAATTCTCTGGCATGGACCATAGCAACATTTTTCTAGATATGTTTCATGAGGCAAGGGAAATAAAAAGAAAAACTATTGGGACTATACCAAAATAAAAAGCTTCTGCACAGTGAAGGAAATAATCCACAAAACTCAAAGGCAACCTACAGAATGGGAGAAGATATTTGCAAAGGACATATCTGATAAAGGATTAGTATCGAGAGTATATTAGGAACTTGCATAACTCAGCACCTAAAAAACAAATAATTCAGGGGTGCCTGAGTGACTCAGTTGGTTAAGCATCCAACTCTTGATATGGACTCAGATCATGATCTCACAGTTTGTGAGATCAAGGCCCGTGTCGGTCTCTGCACTGATAGCATGGAGCCTGCTTGGGATTCTCTCTCTGCTTCTCTTCTGCTTGCACGCCGCGTGCTCTCTCTCTCTCTCTCTCTCTCTCACTCAAAATAAATAAACTTAAAATAAACCTACAAATAATCCAGTTAAAAATGAGCAGAAGACATGAATAGACATTTCTCCAGAGAAGACATACAGAAGGCCAACAGACACATGAAAAGATGCTCAGCATCACTGATCATCAGGGAAATGCACGTTAAAATTACAATGACATATCACCTCATATCTGTCAGAATGGCTAAAATCAACAACACAAGAAACAACAGGTATTGGCGAGGATGTGGAGAAAAAAGAACCCTCATGCAGTGTTGGTAGGAATGCAAACTGGTGCAGCCACTATGGAAAACAGTATGAAGGTACCTCTAAAAGTTAAAAATAGAACTACCTTACAATCCAGTAATTGTGCTACTAGGTATTTACCCAAAGAATGCAAAAACAATCAAAGGAGTACATGCAGCCCTATGTTTATTGCAGCATTATTTACAAGAGCCAAGATCTGGAAGCAGCCCAATTGCCCATTGATAAATGAGTGGATAAAGAAAAGATGTGGTATAAATGTACAACAGATTATTATTTAGCCACAAGAAAGAGTGAAATCCTGCCATTTTCAATGACATGGATGGAGCTAGAAAGTACTACCCTAAGTGAAGGACGTCGTTCAGAGAAAGACAGATACCATAGGATTTCACTCATGTGGAATTTAAGGAACAAATGACCAAAGGAAAAAAAAAAAAGACAAACCAAGAAATAAAGTCTCAAATATAGAGAACAAACTGATGGTTATGTGAGTGGGGAGGGGTGGGTGGATTGGGTGAAACAGGTGATAGGGATTAAGGAGTACACTTGTCATGATGCGCACAGAGTGTTATATGGAATTGTTGAGTCACTGTTAGTGATGCGCTATTAGTGATTAGTTCACTAATAGTGAACTATTAGTTGCAGTACACCTGCAGCTAATACAACCCTGTATGTTACCTATACCAGAATTAAGGTTGAAAAATAGTAAGAAACTAGAGCTCTCTTCTGATGATGATAGGAAAAAACTCAAAGATAGAAGTCTTAGGCCTGCTGCATTCACTCCAGAATTTTTAAAAATCTCCCTATTTATGGGCAAAGCATATTGTTGGTCTTCTTTCTGAGGATGAAAGTGGAGTTTCAGAAGTAGAAAAGAGGTTTTGCTGTAGTAGAGTGACTCTCTTCCTTCCCAAGAGCTTGGAATTGAAATCTCACATCTTACATTTCCAGAAATGTATTATCCCAATACAGACGATCCCCGACTTATGATAGTTTGTCTTAAATGATAGGACTTTACAATGATGTGAAAGCGATACACACTCAATAGAAACCATACTTCAAATTTTGAATTTGGGTCTTTTCCCAGGCTAGTGATCTGTGGTACAACCCTCTCAAGATGCTGGGCAGGGGCTGCAGCTCCCAGTCCGCCTCATGATGACTGGGAGGAGGGTCAAGAATTGATACAATCTTTCTGTACCCATACAATCACTTTGTTTTCATTTTCTTTCTTTCTTTTTAATGTTTGTTCATTTTTGAAAGAGAGAACATGAGTGGGGGAGGGGGCAGAGAGAGAGGGAGACAGAGGATGTGAAGGAGACTCTGTGCTGACAGCAGAGAGCCCAGTGCGGGGCTCTAACTCAAGAATCATGAGATCATGACCTGAGCCAAAGTCGGACACTCAACCAACTGAGCCACCCAGGCGCCCCTGTTTTCATTTTCTTTACAGTAGTCAATAAATTACATGAGTTATGTAACACTTCATTATAAAATAGGCTTTGTGTTAGATGATCTTGCCCAAATGTAGGCTAAAGTAAGTGTTCTGAGCACTTTAAAGTGGGCTAGGCCAAATTATGATGTTTAGTAGGTTTAGGCTTATAAAATGCATTTTTGACATACAGTATTTTCAACTACTTATCAGGATGTAGCCCCTAAGTCCAGGAAGATGTGTGTTATTAGACTTAGTCCTAAATAAAACATGGAAAAGGGTGTGAGCAGAAGGGCCCCGCCAGGCTCTTCCATTCCTTGATTCATTCAGCAGACTTCAAGCAGCTGTTCTGTGCCAGGCCACTCTTCAACAAAACAGACTTAGTCTCCATGTTTATGAAATAGTACAATAAACATATCATGTATTTCTCACAGGTCAGCCAAATTTTTTAAATATTTGTAACCTGTATAGTAGAGGGTATGTGGAAGGAAAGCACTTTCATATACGGTGGGCGGGGTGGGGGGTGGAATATGAATTGATAGAATCATTCTAGGGTCAGGGCAGATAGATTGTATGGGACCTTTACCCTATAACTTTGGTTTCTAATAATTTGCCTTACAGCTATTCTAGCTAAGGTTTTCAGTGAGACCTATATTCTTAGAAAAGGAATATCCCAAAAATCTTTTGTTTATGTGGATTATATTTAGTAATATTTATGTTCAAAATTAGAACAGAAATATTTAAAATGTTATTTGAAAAATATTAAATCCATTATATATTATCATAAATAATATTTTAATGATGGGGCACCTGGGTGGCTCAGTCGGTTGAATGTCCAACTTAGGCTCAGGTCATGATCTCACAGTTTGTGGGTTTAAGCCCAGTGTCGGGCTCTGTGCTGACAGCTCAGAACCTGGAGCTTGCTTCAGATTCTGTCTCTCTCTCTCTCTCTCTCTCTCTCTCTCTCTCTCTCTCTCTGCCCCTCCCCAGCTCGTGCACAAGCTGAAATAAAGAATTCGTTCTCTCAGAAATAAATAATTTTTAAAAATTAAAAAAGTATATTTTAATGAAAAGCGATTTTAAAACAAAAATTGGTACAAATAGTGGCATTGCTTTCCATTTTTCCAAATCTGTTTCATGTCAGATTTAATAAAAAAACAGCTGGTTTCTCATCTCTGCTTTTATATTCAATCTGTTGCAGTATGTTGTTAGGTTGAAATATGTGAAGAAAATGTGGCCTTACTCAGATATGTAGCTGGAAAAAAGTATTTTCATATGCTTTCAGGTAATTGTGGATATTCTTTGACATGACATCAAAACTCTTCCAAGTGGTAGTTTCTTAAAGGTTAGTTGCAGTATCAGTGAAAATATCAATGAGTTTTTCATACAGTTAGGTCAGAATCTGTGGGTTTACCTTGTACTTTGAATCTTTTTTTCATGCATGATTTTTTGTAAGTTCATGCGATTGGTTATTTGGAAAATATTAATTCACTAAGTTATGCAGACCTACCAGATGTTGACACATGTTCATTTTACCATCTCCTCCTCCCCCCATAAAAACCTCATGTTTATTAATATCACCCTTGACCTCATCAAACACATTTGTAAGTAGTAGGAAGCTGTCAGCTTGTGGTGGCCAATGCTAGTTTACCAAATTTTAAAGTTTTACTTGAAAGGTTAAACCTTCTCATTGGCAGCCAACATTTTCAGTTGTTTTCTTGGAAGTGCCAGACCTCATTGTATGTTTTTTGAGAAAATAGCTACCAGATACTCCAGGCTGGCTAGCCCATTGTTCTTTCAGGTAAAAATAGTGATCCATTTGCGACTCAAGCAGTGCTCAAGTGCTTTTCTGTAAGAATCCTATTGTGTTTTGGCACACTAGGGTGCTTTATGTGTAGTTCCCATTTTATTGCACAGCGTATGAAAAAGATGGGAATCTTTCAACTGCCAGAGCATGGCCAGTGAGGACACAAAGATTCCTGAAGACAGTTTGGTGCCACCAGCATTTTTATTCACCATTACCTTTTGCACTGCCAGTGCAAATGTTAACACAGGAAAAAAAAAAGTTTCATTTTTTTGAGAGAGGGAGAGGGATAGAATCTTAAGCAGGCTCCATGCCAAGGGTGGAGCCCAAAGCGGGGCTCCATCTCACACCTGTGAGATCACAACCAGAGCCGAAATCAAAAGTTGGACACTTAAATGACGGAGCCACCCACGTGCCCTAGGAAAAAAAAGGTTTTCCTATACATGTTTCCGTGTTAGTACATTTTAGTATTATTATGAAAATAGTTTTGATCTCCTAGACCTCCTAAAAAGTGTCTTGGAACCCGCAGAGGTCCTTGGACCAAAGAACTGCCGTCCTGCAGAAATACATGTATACAAAGATACTCACTGAAGCAGTGTTTTTTTTTTGTTTGTTTGTTTTTTTTTTAAAAAACTCCTTCTTTCTCTTTTTTTTTTTTTTTTTTTTTTCAACGTTTATTTATTTTTGGGACAGAGAGAGACAGAGCATGAACGGGCGAGGGGCAGAGAGAGAGGGAGACACAGAACTGGAAACAGGCTCCAGGCTCTGAGCCATCAGCCCAGAGCCCGACGCGGGGCTCGAACTCACGGAGCGCGAGATCGTGACCTGGCTGAAGTCGGACGCTTAACCGACTGCGCCACCCAGGCGCCCCTGAAGCAGTGTTTTTCATAGCATAGTATTGGAAACAATAGAATTGTCTAGCTGATAGTCTTTCTGCTTACTGGCAGAGAGGATTCAGCACTAAATACCTGCCAAGACATCCACTGATATGAATTGTCTTCTTAACTATGTGTGTAGAATAGCAGGAATTAAGTACTCTCTTTGCGGTAATTGAAAAAATAGGCATTCAAATAATTTTCTTTGGTCTGTGGTTCAGGTGAGGAGCCCTATTGATTTTTGTTAAGGAATGGTTAAGGCATGTTCTCTGCAGCAGTTCAAGAAAATGTGACAAATCTTTGTGTGATGAATTGACGATATCTTCACATTAAGTGAAAAGTTGAGAATAATATAGTATGATCATGTTTTGTCTTAAAAAACAACCCCCAAAACGGAACTATAGCAAGTGATTACATATGTTACTGATTCAGAGAGACCTAGAAGTTTTTAAATCAAAAACTGCTATCCGTGGCTATCTCTGCCAAGGCACGTGGGATTTGGAAAATCAGGGGTAGGAGATGGTTACAGATTCCTAGTTTTTATTCTATGTATCTCTGCATTTGAACTTTTTTTTTTTTTTTTTACAATGAAACCATTGGGCATTATATGTAAAATCCTGGTAAGTGCTATGAAGACATATATATGATAAGGAAAACCCCTCTGAGGGGACTTCTGGGAATCTGCGTCTGGATGAGCTCTTATCCGGCATGGCTTCTCTGCATTGTAGGAATCTGAGGCGGATCCGGAAATGTCAGCGTGGTCGAGAACAGCAGGAAAAGGAAGGGAAGGAAGGAAACAGCAAGAAGACCATGGAGAATGTGGATAGCCTGGATAAACTGGAGTGTAGATTCAAGTTGAATTCCTACAAGATGGTGTATGTGATCAAGTCAGAGGACTACATGTATCGGAGAACTGCCTTGCTCCGGGCTCATCAGGTAAGAACGAGTAACTGAATTTCTCCACACCCCTCCTTCCCCAGCCAGGCCCAGACCTACCTCAGAGGCTTCTGATTGCTTCTCTCCCTTTATGAAAACCACCTCGCAGATTTGAGAATTGTTGAGTAAGCAGGTGTATTAGTCTATTAAAGATATCAGGGGGCACCTGGGTAGCTCAGTCAGTTAAGTGTCTAACTCTTGGTAATTGGCTCAAGTCATGTTCTCACAGTTCCTGAGGTCTAGCTCCACTTTGGACTCTATGCTGACAGCACAGACCCTGCTTGTGATTCTCTCTTTCCTTCTCTCTCTGCCCCACCCACCCACCCCCACTTGCTGACTTGCTTGCTCTCTTAAAAGTAAATAAATAAACTTAAAAAAAATGTCCAAAGAACCACAGACTGCGCCTTAAACAACAGAAATTTTTTGTCCTACAGTTCTGGAGGCTAGAAGTCAAAAATTGAAGCGTTTGGCAGAGTTGCTCTGAACCAGGGCTGTGAAGGAGAATCTGCTCCCTGCCTCCTGTCCTAGCCCCTGGTGTTTTGCTGGCAGTCTTTGGCCTTCCTGGCTTTCAGGTCTCTGCCTTCATCTTCACATGGTGTTTTTCCTATGTGCCTGTGTCCAATTCACCCTATTTATTTATTTATTTACTTATTTAAATTTTTATGTTTAGAGTGCAAGCTGGGGAGAGGGGCGGGGGGATCCCAAGTAGGCTCCACGCTGAGTGTGGACGTCGGGCTTGATCCCGCAACTCTGGGATTGTGACTTGAGCAGAAATCGAGTCAGACACTCAACTGACTGAGCCACCCTGGTGCCTCCAATTTACCCTTAAAAAAAAATTTTTTTTTGTTAACGTTCATTCATTTTTGAGAGATACAGCATGAATGGGAAAGGGGCAGAGAGAGAGGGAGACACAGAATCTGAAGCAGGCTCCTGGCTCTGAGCTGTCAGCACAGAGCCCGACGCGGGGCTCGAACCCACGAACCCAATTTACCCTTTTTAAAGGGTGCCAGTCATACTGGACTATGGGTTCACCCTGCTATAGTGTGACCTATCCTAACTAATTACATCTGCAACAACCTTATTTCTCAGGTCACATTCTCAGGTACTGGGGTGAAGACTTTAACACAGTGACTTGCAGGGAACACAGTTCACCCCATAACAGCTGGTGGCACCTCAGTGAAATGAAGCTACTCCCAGCATTTATATTTCAAGTGCTTTTGCTTATTTGAATTCTATCCGTTTTCACATGCTGTCTCAATTGTGAAGCTTCCTGATGCAGTTATATACCGGGTATTGTGCTAGGCCCTGGGACACAACCAAGGAGTAGAGCATATATGCACTATGAGAGAAAGAAACTGGGTGAAGTGATCGTGGGTAACTGGCACACAGGCCCTGTTTTTGTTGGGGGAGACCTCTCTAAAGAGGAAACGCTTGAGGCCTGAACAATGACAAGGATCCAGCCTGGGGAAGAGTCAGAGGTTGGTACTTTCCAGGCAAAGGAAACAGGCAAATGCAACGCTGGAAGGGAGGAAAGGACTCGGCATGTTTGAGAAGCTAGAAGCATCAGTGTGCCTTGAGCCATAGGGAGAGTGGCATGTTTGAGGTCGAAGGGTGGGGGAAGACATCATTGCTAGTCTCATAGACCATGGTTGGGATTTTGTTTGTGGTACATTGGGACATTGTTGACAAAGATGGCTCGAACTGCTGTGAGGACAGTGGGGTGACTTGAGGCATGATGCTGGAAAGGCAGAGACTGCTTGAAAGACTGCTCTTGTCCAAATGAGATGTGATGGTGACCTGGGCTATCAGGGTGGCAGTAGAATTGTAAGAATTAGATCAGTTTGGAGATGTAATTGTCAGGATGTGGTCATGATCGGATGTGAGAAGGTAAGAGAAAAGAGAACATCAAGGATGATGCCTGGTGGTTTTTGTTTTTTTGGTTTTTGTTTTTGCTTGAGTAAATCAGAAGTTTAGGGATACAATCTGTTAATACGGAGGTGGGTTAGGGGGCATATAAGGCACTGTGTTTTGAACTGTTTTTGGGTTTTTTTTTTAATGTTTATTTTGAAAGAGAGAGCAGGGGAGGGGCAGAGGGAGAGAGAGAATCCCAAGCAGGGTCCGTGCTGTCAACCCCAACGTGGGGCTCAGTCTCACTAACCGCCAAGACCATGACTTGAGCTGAAACCAAGAGTCTGATGCTTAACCGACTGAGCCACCCAAGCGCCCCTGAACTGGTTATGTTTGAAAGGACTACAGGGGTGCCTGGGTGGCTCAGTCGGTTAAGCATCCAACTTCAGCTCAGGTCGTGATGTCATGGTTCGTGGGTTTGCCCCCGTGTCAGGCCCTGTGCTGACAGCTCAGAGCCTAGAGCCTGCTTTGGATTCTGTGTGTCTCTCTCTCTCTGCCCCTCCCCTGCTTGTGCCCTGTCACTCTCTGTCTCTCAAAGATAAGTGTTAAAAAAAATTTTTTTTTGAAAGGACTACAGTTCAAGCAGGAGAATGTTGGATGGGTGTTTTAATGGACTTCTCTCATGACGCTGTGTGCTGTATGTTTGATGCCAGATTATTTGGGGAGCTAAGTAACACCTAATTCATCTTTGTATCCCCTACTCTGCCTTGCACATAGGCCCCAATAAATATTTACTAGATGGGTAGGTGAAAGCATAAACCTCCCCTGAAGATCTGCTGTGTCCTCATGCTCTGCTGGGCAGGGTGGGGTAATACTGTGAAGAGAAAGTGGGTTTTAAGCCCTTTGCCTTTGCACTGTTTTACTTAGAAGTGGATGGTCACACTGCCAGGGTGACCTAACAGCTGCAACTCATAGGGTCTCATTCAGGGTATGCTAGAAGCACCTGTGATGCTAGTTTCAAAATGGGGGGTGGGGGGCGCCTGGGTGGCTCAGTCAGTTAAGCATCTTTGTTTCTTTTTGAGAGAGAGAGCACAAGTGGGGGAGGGACAGAGAGAGAGGGACACACAGAATCTGAAGCAGGCTTCAGGCTCTGAACTATCCCAGAGCCCAATGCAGGGCTCAAACTTGTGAACCATAACACCCTAACCAAAGCCAAATTTGGACGCTTAACTGACTGGGCCACTCAGGCGCCCCTCCTTTTTAAAAGTTTGAGAGACAGTGCAAGTGGGGGGAGGGACAGAGAGGGGAGAGAGAGGGAGAGAGAGAGAGAGAGAGGGAGGGAGGGGGGAGAGAGAGAGAGAGAGAGAGAGAGAATGAGAGAGAATGAGAATGAATGCCAAGCAGGCTTTGCAACTGTCAGCACAGAGCCCAATGTGGAGCTCAAACCCACGAAACTGCAAGATCATGACCTAAGCTGAAACCAAGGGTCAGACGCTTAACCAACTGAGCCATCCAGGCGCCCCAGGCACCTAACTCTTGATCGTGAGATCGAACCCTGTGTCAGGCTCTGCACTGACAGCACAGAGCTTGTTTGGGATTCTCGCTTTCCCTCTCTACCCCTCCCCTGTTTACGTGCCCTCTCAGTTTTTTTTTTTTTCAATGCAGATTGATGGAAACAAGGAAATCTGTGTTTTTATCAGGTTCCCTAGTTGATCCTGATAAATGCTAAAAGCGAGAAGTGCTGAGCTAGTTCTGCTCAGACCCCATGTTGGCATTTCTTTAGGGGCTTTATGGATTCCAACTCTTTATATACTCCATGTTCTTCATCTCTTTCAATTTTCTTCTTTAAACAGGGACTCCTCACTAACCAGAGGTATCAAGGCTTGACCCCACACCTTTTCCTCTGCTACTTTAGAAAAAAATTAGGCTTTGTATTTGAAGAGGTTTTTTGTTTTGTTTTGTTTTGTTTGTCTTAGTTCATGGTTTTTTTTCGTTGTTCTGTTTTGCAGTCCCATGAGCGTGTAAGCAAGCGGCTACATCAGAGGTTCCAGGCCTGGGTAGATAAATGGACCAAGGAGCATGTGCCCCGTGAAATGGCAGCAGAGACCAGCAAGTGGCTCATGGGTGAGGGGCTGGAGGGCCTGGTGCCCTGTACCACCACCTGTGACACAGAGACCCTGCACTTTGTGAGCATTAACAAGTACCGTGTCAAATATGGCACAGTGTTCAAAGCCCCATAACTGCAAAGCCAGAGCAGATAACTTGAGGGGGGTGTGTGTGGGGAGCACTTGCACTCACACACACTGAAGAAACAAGGAAGATGCCTTTCAAGCCTCACTGGGCCTCTCTGGGACATGGCCACCTGATCAGTGTGTGGCTGGTGCAACATGGCACCAAGTGGGCTACATATAAGGAACGTGGATACCTTACAAAGCCGGAGCTGGAACTTTTCCCAAGGGGTTTGGGGTATCACCCTGCTCTGGAGGGGAAGGAAATCCATGCAAGCACAGAGACATGCAGCTTGCTTGCACACACCAGCAGAGCTAAGACTGGAGTCCCCTGGGGCCTGACCTTCGATGAAGGAGCCAGATGCTGTTCACACCTTGACTGGATGGGCATGCACTGACAGACTGGGGAAGGACTCACCGCTCAGATGGATTGTAACTCTGATGGTCACTGCTCCTCTCCCCTCCCCCCAAAAGGAAAAAAAAACTGGATTTGATTTTTTTTTTTTTTTTTTTTTTTT